AGAGGGCAGATTATGAAAACAGAATATACAACCTGAAAGTGGAACAAGGGGACACGTGGGTGGCTCTGTTGGTTAGTCACCTACCTTTGGCTCGGGTCATGATCCCAGGGTCCTGGAATCGAATCCCACGTTGAGCTCCTTGCTCAGAGGGGACCCTGCTTCTCCCTCTGCCTGTTCTGCCCGCAGCTCCCCCTGCTTGTGCACTGACAAATAAATAAAATCTTAAAAAAAAAAAAGGGTGGAACAAGGATCTAAATATCTAGAAACTCCTCCATCACATTTCTTACACTAATGAATATGAACAGTATAAATAATTATTGGTAATGTTATATACACAGAACACATCATTTGACAGCCAGTTGGCAAAATTCATACAGCCTTAGTATCATACACTTAAGAGCTAAGATGCTAACAGCCGGTGATATTGAAAGAAAACCAGAAGCTTCCACAGCCCCCAGAAAGACAAAAGTACAATTAGTTAGTGGATCTCAGAGTCATCTTAGGTCAATACTATTCTGCTCATGCTGTCTTCATTAACTACCAAGATACAACAAAAGTTCCAGCTAGTAAAATTGACCCGAACATTACTAAGAATGTTTAATACACCGGAGCACCTTGCTGGCTCAGTTGACTCTTGATCTCAAGTTATGAGTTCAAACCCCATGTTGGACATAGAGCTTATGTTTTTTGTGTTTTTTTTTTAAAGGAGTGTTCACACAAATTCACATTTTATGTTTAGGGTATTTGTAAGAGAAAAAAAAGAAAGAGCATCATTTTTTGTTATCTTATCAGGGTACTCTGGCATTTACGCTAAGCCTGGAGCAGTCCAAGTGGGATTCACATCTACAAAAGGGAATCGTGGCAAGGAACCTCAGTTCGGAGGCACAAAGGTGTGATTCTGAAAACCAGTCTCAAGAAGGAATTATATGAACCATGTGCTTCACCCACCTGGGCAGCCAGAGCCACCGTCCAAACAGTTTAATGGAACAGGTACTGTTAAAACTGCTAAGTATATTCATGTTTGACGAGGCATGAAAGCTTACACAATAAGGGTTAACACAGCAGGTCTGAGGCTTCAGCTGTTCCAAGGTACTGTTTGCAAGGCTGGCCTCTGGCTGGCATCTGGCAACTTGGCATTTAGAGTGTGGTCTGTAACCCAACTGATAAGGACGTCTCACTGTGCCTAGACTATGCAAACAATGTGATTTGCACTGAGCACCTGCTTTCCTCTGGGAGTCTGGAATTTGGTACATGCCAGACAGAAATACCTACTTGTGTAATCCTCAGTGAGCTTTGTATGACCCTCTCAGGGCAGGGACAGCATTGGAAGCCAACATGTAGATTCCCCCAGACATCACCTGGCTTTCCCATCCTTGCTACATCACTCTAATAAATCTTAGCTGTGAGTACAATATGCTAAGTCTCAAGAATTCATTTAGAAATCTCTGGATGTGGGGGGGCCTTGTGGGCCCCCAACAGTTCCACTGCTATTTGTTCAAAATTATGTGGATTATATTGTTATCTGTATTCTGAAAGGGGGAGGGAGGATGGATTTCTGTTTCTTATTTTTTTTTAAACTTTTTTTTTTTAAGATTTTATTTATTTATTTGACAGAGAGATCACAAGTAGGCAGAGAGGCAGGCAGAGAGAGAGGAGGAAGCAGGCTCCCCGCTGAGCAGAGAGCCCGATGCGGGGCTCGATCCCAGAACCCTGAGACCATGACCTGAGCTGAAGGCAGAGGCTTTAACCCACTGAGCCACCCAGGCGCCCCTCTGTTTCTTATTAAAAGGAGGTTCTGGGTCACATGTAATAGATGAGGTATCATTTAGGGTTTACAAAAAAAAAAAAGTCACAAATTTAAACAAAACCAACAAAGAGAAAACACGCACTTTGCGGGATCTGTCGGGCAGGTTCTTTCTTCCAGGCTCTGGTGTCTCTTGAGAGCTATATGGTAACACTGGTGCAGGCAACACAAGCAACTATCCAACCAGGAAGCAAAGTCCCCACCTGTTACGTGTGGGCTGCCCTAGACAAGACGTGTTTCACCTCAGCCTCAGGGTCTCATGAACCATGAGAGCTATACTACTTAAAGGGTTTTATGACAGATACCAGGTAATTGCCAGAGTGATCTTGTGGGAAGTACATTCAGTACTTGGCTATGCAAATTCACATAACTGTCTTGCCCCATTCCATTCCAGGATACCAGCACCTCTCCAGGTCCCATCTCAGGGGACTTCTGACTTCCTGGTAGTAAGGCCTCTGGAAAATCAAGTCTTAAAAGACTAAGCACCCATCTTTAATATCAGGGACTTCTAAAAAGTCAAGGAGCCTTCCTACCCTTCTGAATAAAGTCTAATTGGCCAGATAGAAAAAAGTCTGACAGCTTTTTTTTTTTTTTTTGGTCTTGCTTTTTACATTGTCAATCTACTATTATAGCAACACTGAATTAAAAGAAAGAAAATTGTATATAATCCCACAAATCAACCGCAGATGTCCTCATGTACTGTTGTTTTGCTCACTTATAGGTACACACTGGAAATAATGTTACCCAAATAAGTAGTGAACTACCAGGGAAAGAGTTACTACCGAAGGTATAAAATGAAAACCAGTGATCTCCTTCCCCAACCTATGCAACAGTCACACATCTCATCAACGACTTAACCATTTCTATTCCGGTTCTTCCTGAAGCCATGTCTGTAATTCTGATCTTCTATGGTCTGTAGAATTACTGACTTCCTGCTCTGATGTGGAATGTAGATTTGGCTCAACTCTTGCTCCTCTATTTGCTTCTAATTTCGTCATATTACCATTCTATGCTCCAATTTTGGTTTCCTAAAATAACCTATGTATCGTATTATATTTAAGAGGTCGCTTCCTAAGATAAGGATACAGGGATACTCTTTTCCCCACTATCTCTTTCTTCTTCTACTTTACAACAGCTAGAGACTATACCATTACTGTTGGTGAAAGTGCTGGGAATCTCATGCTCTTTTTTTTTTTTTAAGATTTTATTTATTTATTTGACAGACAGAGGTCACAGGTAGGCAGAGAAGCAGCCAGAGAGAGAGGAAGGGAAGCAGGCTCCCTGCTGAGCAGAGAGCCCGAAGCGGGGCTCGATCCCAGGACCCTGGGATCATGACCTGAGCCGAAGGCAGAGGCTTTAATCCACTCAGCCACCCAGGCGTCCCTCATGCTCTTGACATTACGAAATCCTCATGTCACAGCTCTGGCTTTCTTCCTTAGGAAAAGCAAAGAACAAAAACAAAAACTCAGTACCTACTGTATATATTGTATCTATGCAAATACTGTTATGAAGGGCCAATCAGAACAATCTGATTGTATATCCCCCCTCTCTTACTCCAATTTCATGAGTGCTCTGCTTCTTCTAAGTAGTAGTATTATCATCAGGGTCAAATACATGGCTCTTGGGGTGCCTGGGTAGCTCAGTTAAGCATCTGACTCATGGCTTTGGCTCAAGTTGTGATCTCAGGGTCATGAGATCCAGCCTGGCATTGGGCTCTGCGTTCAACATGGAGTCTGCTTGAAATTTTCTGTCCTCTCTGCCCCTCCCCCACTTATTCTCTCTAAAAAAACCCAATCTTTAAAAAAAAAAAGCATCTTGGATTTATTTTTTCACTTGCAATTACTTTTTGACTCACTCCTAGAATAAAACTTTAACTACTTGGTTCCCCAAATATCTGTTCTCTTTGGGGCTTCTGTTTTATCATACATTTTTTTCTTTCAAGTTGAAGGCTTTCTTCATCTTTCACACCTTGGTTCCCATCCATATTGAAGAGGCTATTGAAGATGGGAAGTTCAAAGAGGTGGGTGAGACCAGTTTAATGGCATGCTTTGCTAGAGGGTGAAAAGTGCAAGAACCAGCTGTTTGGGTGAAGGTTCTCATGATGCCCAAACAATGAAGCCCTTGTTTTGAAACATAATCCACCAAATTTCCTAGTTCCCCAGACCAATTTTAGTATGTAACTTCCTTCCTACTTTATTTTCTGCTTACCCACAGCCGGATAGTCACTTTAAGACAAGAAAAGTAGGGGAGAAAGGAGAGAAAATGTGGAGTTTCACAGATCTTCACATAACCCTGTTTTTCTCCCCCACCTCTTGGTGTACAGCTCTGCTTGGGGGCTGTGGCCTCTACTGCTGCAGCCCTCTCCTCACATGATCCTGGCTTCAGCCTTTCCACTCTGCATCTCCAGGTCATGCTCTCACACCTGCTGTCACCTTGCTCAAATTTGCAGTTACGGCCTCTCCCACTTTCTTCACCATTGTTGATTCAGCCTTTGTTTTGAACGTGCTGCTGAGCTGACCTTCTTAACCATCCGTGTGCATGTTTTCATGCGGTTGTAATATTTTGTGTTATATACTACTTTGGGTCCTGTTTTCACTTCACCTGATAAATATTTTCTATATTGCTATACAGTGAGCTCTGATTATAGTCAACCTGAACAACAAAGTTAAATTAGAGCACAATGGAGTTCTTGATATAGAGTCTACTTTTAATTCCAATAAAAACCATTTCAGAAGACTTTCCAACCTCAGTCCTCCAGTTTGTTAACTGCTGGTTTACATTGGCCAGCTTCATATTTCATCACTTAATGCCAACGTCGTCATGCAAAGATTTCTTCTTAGATTGTTTGGGGCTTCGCATTAAGAATATCTTCCAGTCCAAAAAATAAAAGAAAAAAGAGAATATCTTCCAGTCCATTGTCTCTAGGAAGGCGTCACAGGGACAATGTCTGATTAAGTTTGGGTGGTTGCTTACACTGAAAAGATTATTTGATGGGTATAGCTACATACTGAATTCCCTAACTCCTGCTAAGAGCTCTGACAAAAGTTTCAAATCAGTGTTATGTTCACAGCTTCTCATCTAAATGCAGACGTAAATGCATGTTAGTGTACATACAAATTACTTGTGCTGCTTTTAGGAATTGCAGGCTCCTGGGTTTTACCACCAGAGATTCTTTTTTTTTTTTTTTTTCCCAGAGATTCTGATTTAGTAGATCAAGGTAAGCTTGGAAATGTGCGGTTTCAATGAACACTCCAAGGAAATCCATGGTCATTAGACCACACTGAGTGTCACACCTTTGTTACTTAATGTCTAATAAAGGTTTGGCAGTGAGTGTCTCCATCTTGATTATTCAGCTTCTCTCCCATGAGTTTTTTCATGTTGAATAAGGGATGTATTATAACTGAAAACCTTCCCACATTCATTACATTCATAGGGTTTTTCTCCAGTATGAATTCTCCGATGCCTAGTAAGTTGACATCGCTGACTAAAGGCCTTTTCACAATGATTACATGCATAAGGTTTCTCGCCAGTGTGTGTTCTCTCGTGTTTCGTAAGTGTTGACCGATCATTAAAGGCTTTCCCACAGTCAATACATTCATAGGGTTTTTCTCCAGTATGTGTTCTCTCATGTTCAATAAGGCGTGACCTCTGACTGAAGGCTTTCACACACACGTTACACCGATAGGGCTTGTCTCCAATGTGTGTTCTTTGATGCACAATGAGGGGAGACCTCTGGCTGAAAGCTCTTTCACAATGACTGCACTTGTAAGGTTTCTCTCCAGTATGGGTGCGCTGATGCACAACAAGCTGTGATCGCTGCCGAAAAGATTTCCCACAGTTATTACATTCATATGGTTTCTCTCCAGAATGAATTCTCTGATGGGAAAGAAGGTGAGAGCTCCCAGTATAGGCTTTCCCACACTGATTACATTCAAAAGGTTTTTCTCCAGTATGAGTTCTCTGATGCTCAATAAGGTGAGAGCCCCCACTGAAAGCTTTATCACACTGATTGCATTTATATGGCTTCTCTCCAGTGTGAATTCGCAGATGCCTAATAAGTTGAGTGCTTCGAATGAAGGACTTTCCACACTGGTTACATTCACAGGGTTTCTCTCCAGTGTGAGTTCTTTTATGTGCAACGAAGTCTGAGCTTTGACTGAAGGACTTTCCACAATGAGTACACTCATAAGGCTTCTCTCCAGTATGAATTCTTTGATGTACAATAAATAAGGTTAGAGTTCCACCTGAAAGATTTTCCACATTCGTGACATTTATATGGTTTTTCTCCAGTGTGAGTTCGCTGACGCCTAATAAGTTTGGAACTCTGGGTGAAGGATTTCCCACACTGGTTACATTCATAGGGCTTTTCTCCAGTGTGTGTTCTCTGATGTACGACAAGGTCATAGCTCTGGCTGAAAGACTTGCCACACTGAGTACACTCATAGGGCTTTTCTCCAGTGTGTGTTCTCTGGTGTACAACAAGCTTAGAACAACAGCTGAAAGATTTTCCACACTGACTACATGCATGTGGCCTCTTTCCAGTCTGAATGATGTCACCGTCAGTAAAAGATGAGGCTGCGTGGAAGGCATTATGTTCCTCCCCACACCTAAATGGTGCTTCTCTACAATCACTTATTTCGGTTCGTATGAGGCAGTCATCACACTCATACTGACATTCTCTAAGATGCATTGGCTTGTGTTCATTCCGAGTCTTGCTATGATTGATAATGTTTCCATAGTTTGGACAGTTATTTTTGTTCTCTGCTGAGAAAAATCTATTATGAAATTGCAGGGAGGTACCGTAGCTCAAAGAGTCACTAGTGACAGTATATTCACAAAGTTTTTTATTTCTCATTTCAACATTTCCAAGTTTATTCAAATAAATGCTCTGACAGAAGGCTCCAGCACTTTGGTGATTTTCATAAGCCTTCCGATCAGCCTGGCCTTTCTCATGATTCATGAAAACTGAATTCTGTTTCAACTTTTTAACCTGTGAGTCAAGGGTACAGAAATGTGTTCTTGTGAGTAATGTTGGAGGTAGAAGGCTTATACCCAGGTAACCTCCCCCAAGGTCATGCTCACAATGGTCCCCTTGAGCAAACAGTGTCTCTGTGGTAAGTACCATTTGATTCCAGGAGTCCTCCTGGTGCTCCCTTAGCTGGTTCTTCCAATCCTGCCTTTCTCCTAATGACACCAACCAGGGGCCCTCCTCCTGTAGGCAGTGTTTCATTTCTATGTGGTGGAATGGTTCTTCCACAGCAAAATCTTCTTTGGAAGCTGACTCTTTCTTTTCAAATATATTCTTCCAATCTGAAAGAAATCCAATATACCTGAATTACTGAAGATGCATTAGAGGGGGAGGATGGGATGGAGGAGACCACCAAGTATGAGAGGTTCTCTGGGTTTGTTTCTAATCCATGCACTGTAATTTCATGCAGGATGTAAAAAAAAGGGATGGAACAGCAAACAGGGTAGTGGTGATAACGTATAAAAAACAAAGATAATGAAGAGGTAACCCAGGAAGACTAATCTGTCCTGGTCTGCAGAGGGAGAAGAGGAATAAGAACAAGCAGGGGAGGGTAAAGATTAAAGGAGAGATCCAGAAAGAATTGGGCCTAAGGATATACAGCCTTCATAGCCACAGAAGATACCTACAATATAATTGCCTGTGAAGCCAATGAATATGGTACCTGACTTGGAAAAAGGGTCTTTGCATAAATTAAGGAACTTGAGCTAGGGAGAGTATCTGTGTAGGCCCTAACTGTGACCAGAAGTGTCCTATAATGGGGAAGTAGAGATATGATATACACAGAAGTGATAGGAACATGGAACAAAGAGATTTAGAGATGCTGGCCTTAAAGACTAAAGTGATATGGGCACAAACCAAGGAATGCTGCAGCCACCAGAAGCTGGTGAGTGAGACAAGGAAGAGATTTCTTCCTGGACCCTTCCAAGGGTGCATGACTCTACACCTTGATTTCAGACCAATGGTATTGATTTCAGGTTTCTGGCCTCCAGAATCATGGGAGAATCAATTTGTGTTGTTTTAAGCCCCTCACCTGGTAATCTGTTACAGCAGCCGCAGGAAATTAATAAAGAGACTAACTGGTACCTCAACCTAGATTACTGACCCAGAATCTTAGTCTATCTCTTCTTTTTTTTAAAGATTTTATCTCTTTATTTAATAGACAGAGAGGGAGATCACAAGTAGGCAGAGAGGCAGGCAGAGAGAAAGGGAAGCAGGATCCCTGGTGAGCAGAGAGCCTGATGTGGGGCTCAATCCCAGGACCCTGAGATCATTACCTGAGCCGAAGGCAGAGGTTCAACTCACTGAGCCACCCAGGTGCAGCCCCCTCCCCGCTTTTTAAGAAAATTTTATTTATTTATTTGACAGAGAGAGAGACACAGCGAGAGAGGGAACACAAGCAGGGGAGGCAGGAGAGGGAAAAGCTGGTTTCCCACAAAGCATGGAGCTTGATGTGGGGCTCGATCCCAGGACACTGGGATCATGACTTGAGCTGAAGGCAGATGCTTAATGTCTGAAACACCCAGGCACCCAGTCTATCTATTTTCTGATTCTGCATCTTGAAATGATCCCAAACACCAACACAGACTTAATATTCTTAACGCACCATTTCAACTATTTCTTCAGGCTAGCCACAGAAGAAAAACTCTCTACCCACTTTGTAATCAATGCCACAGACTTCCCAGAAAAGCACTGTAGTCCTTGAAGCAGTAGTTGGCTAGGCTGGGCTGCAACTGAGTTTCACTAACTAGCAACTTCTTCTTCTTCTTTTTTTTTTTTAAATTTTATTTATTCATTTGACATGGAGAGACACAGCAAGAGAGGAAACATAAGCAGGGGGAGTGGGAGAGGGAGAAGCAGCCTTCCCACTGAGCAGGGAGCCCACACAGGGTTCAATCCCAGGACCCTGGGATCATGACCTGAGCTGAAGACAGACACTTAACCAACTGAGCCACCCAGGCACCCCTAACTAGCAACTTTTTTTTTTTTTTAAAGATTTTATTTATTTATTTGACACAGAGAGAGAGAGAGATCAGGCAGAGAGGCAGGCAGAGAGAAAGGAGGAAGCAGGCTCTCCACTGAGCAGAAAGCCCGATGCGGGGCTTGATCCCAGAATGCTGAGACCATGACCCGAGCCGAAGGCAGAGGCTTAACCCACTGAGCCACCCAGGCGCCCCTAACTAACTAGCAACTTCTAAAGTTCATTTTCCTCGACAGTAAGCCAGGAATAAAAACCCTTAGCTTACAAGGTTTACTTCGATGCACAAATGAACTGCTATATGAGTCCCACAAGGTGCCTGGCCTGTGGTGCACTGTTAGTACATGGTGCCATTGATATGGCCTCCCCTGTTACTGTCCTAATGGAGACTCCTCCCTCTGTTGAAATATTGGGTCTCTGATGAGTGGTGTAGGTTCCCAGCTTGGGACCTTGCCTGGGTCCTCCAAAATTCCCTCTTTACTTGTCACTCTTCCCATTTCGTCATGTAGCCACCCACATCTAGTACTATCAAGGCCTCTGATCAAGTCCCCATGCTTCACTCTCCAGGAGTGCTAAGGAGACAAGTCTCCTCCATTTGGCAAAGTATTAACTACACTGTGGCCCTCCTTTGACTTCCAGGGGGCATTTCCCTCTTGGACAAAGTCCTTCTCTAAGCCTAACACCCTCCACAACCAACAATGTTCTCCTTCCCAAGACTCAGCTGTGTTCCTTTTTGGTCTTGTCTTGGAATCCCTGATGATGAGAACTTTTTCAAATGAAACAGTGGCCCAGTGAAAGGGAGTAAAAGGGTATTTTGAGACCGGAAGAAGGAAAGAAGTCTCAGGGTGGTTAAGATGTGACTGAGTTGTGCCTGGTCATTGGAAACTGGGTAAAGGAGGCCAGACATTTTACACAGTGTCTCCATCAAGATTGCAAAATGAGGAAAACAGACTGTGTGGGTCAGCTAGAAAGAAGTATCTATGATAGATGAGAAGAAAGATGCTGTCCACATACTGAGGAGAAGAAAGATGCTGTCCACATACTGAATTCAGAATGGCATCATTTGAAGGACCAAGGACAAGTAAAAGCAGGTGACACTTCAGAGGGAAAAGTAACAGAGGCTGTAGGTGAGAGTTACAAGGTAAGAAAGAGCAGGAGAACACAAGATAAACCCAACACCTCTGGCTAGGGGAACGTCTCGATGATACTGTGAAGGTCCAAAGTGGTGTGAAGGACACACGTGATGTTTACAGCTAACTGAAAGCAGCCAGTTAAGAAAGGCCACTTACTGGGGCTCCTGGGTGGTTCAGTGGGTTAAGCCTCTGCCTTCGGCTCAGGTCATGGTCTCAGGGTCCTGGGAATGAGCCCTGCATCAGGCTGTCTGCTCAGCAGGGAGCCTGCTTCCTCCTCTCTCTGCCTGCTGCTCTGCCTACTTGTGATCTCTCTCTCTGTGTCAAACAAATAAATAAAATCTTTAAAAAAAAAAATGCCACTTACTGTGTGATTCCAACTACAGGACATTCTGGAAAAGGTAAACTATAAAGAGTAAAATAACCAGTGGTTTCCAGGAGCTAGGGTGGGGGGAGGGAAAAACAGGTGGAGCACAGAAAATATTTAGGGCAGTAGAACTACTTGGCTTGATACCATAAAGATGGAGATGTGGCATTATACATTTACCCAAACCCGCAGAATGTCCAACACCAAGAGTGAACCTAATGTAAACTGATCTCTACTGGTAATGTGTGAATACAGCTGCTCCCATTGTAACAAATGTACCACAGAATGCAGGATATTAATAATAGAGGAAAGTGTGTGTGTATGTGGTGAGGAAGGGTGATAAAATGGGAACTCTGTACTTTCTGCTAAACTTTCAGTAAACATAAAACTCTAATAAATAAAACCTATTAATTAAAACAAGACAAAAACAAGGGGCGCCTGGGTGGCTCAGTGGGTTAAGCCGCTGCCTTCGGCTCAGGTCATGGTCTCGGAGTCCTGGGATCGAGCCCCGCATCGGGCTCTCTGCTCAGCAGGGAGCCTGCTTCCTCCTCTCTCTCTGCCTGCCTCTCTGCCTGCTTGTGATCTCTCTGTCAAATAAATAAATAAAATCTTAAAAAAAAAAAACAAAAAACAAGACAAAAACAAATATCAGAAGCAGCCCAATTAGTTGGGGTAATGAACATGTTCTAAAATTGATTATAGTGATAGATGCAGATGCTGTGAACATACTACAATCCTTTGCATACTTCAAATGAATGAATCATATGGCATGTGAATTATATCTTGATACCACTATTAAAGAAAAAAAGGAGTTCCAATCAGGCTTAGACACTGGGACATACAAGGAGGTGGACCGATGGGATGAGGAGAGGTGGGAAAACAAGTCCAGGAACTGATTTAGTAGGAATCCTTCTGGAAGGAATAGGTTGTTGCCATTTCCTAGGATGCAGAAGTTCTCACCACATCTCTGGATCATCTAGAAGTTGTAGGAATGTCCAACATGAGGAGGGATGGACACCCAACTACAGGGTAAAGACAAGGCATGACGGAGAGATCCATCTGCCCCGGGTGGAAGTGAGGGTGGGGGACTCGAGGAAAAGAGGGGGCACAAGCACCTGGGAATAGATGAAGGAGCTGAGAGGTGAAGATCAAAGGGAAGTTGGGAACAGAAATGAACGCACACATGAGAAATGTTGGGACAAGAATGACATGTGTTTTTCATGGATTGGGGATACAGGGACAGCCCTACATGGGTCAGAATGTGGCTGCCTTGGATGCAAGGAAGCAGCAGAGAACACCCAAGAAAGCTCCCTGTACCTCCTTCCCTCCTTGGACCCAGGCTCCTGTGGAGAGCAACTTCACCAGGTTAACTCACTAGGTCACTAGCCTGCTCTCACCTTGGGGAGGTCCCTGTTCTGCCCTCCATGGGTCTTGTCCTTGCTCCATCCAGCTGATCACATCCAGTTTGGAAAGCAGAAGCCCTGGTCAATGGGGAAAAAATAGAGGACTTTGTGCTCTGCTCAGAGAGTAGGAGAACCATGTCCTCTGGCCTAGCCCTCAGTCCCTAGGGTCAGATGTGGAAGTATTAGGAGGGCCCTGCACATCCCAAGGAAACTCCCAGCAAAACTCTTGGCTCATTATAGACAGAATGAGTGGCAATATCCAGGATCTGTATCTCAAGGGAATCCATTTCTGGAATGCTCAGGTTCAACCCAGGCACATCTATAAGAAGAGCCAGATCTTTGAGTCCCTGAAGCAGAAAACTGCTGTGATGGGCAGAGCTCGCCTTACCCAGAGAGACCAGGTGGCTGCAGGTCTCCAGAGTCATGGTGCGGTATAGTCTCCTCTGGGCCAGATCCAGCTGTCCCCACTCCTCCTGCGTGAAGGTCACAGCCACGTCCTTGAAGCTCACAGCTGGCTGAAATATCACCCATGTTACCATGGGGCTCTGCCTCCCCAGTGCGGAGGTTGGGTCAGGGGGATGGGGCAGCACTGGGAAGGAGAGGACATGTGTTTTAGATGATATCAATGAGCACTCATGGGGTTCCCACCTTTGGGATCAGGCTCATTCTGTTTTCACTTCTCTCTGAGGGGCTCATCTATCACTGGTCATACTAGTGCTTCTGATTTTTGGTAGTAGGAAACAACAGGAACCCCACTCAGAGATCCACAGGGTGGCTGAATGGGTTATGGAGGCTTAGTTCTGCCCATCCTCAAGATCCTGCCACGTAGCCGCCACAGACAGAGTCTGAGCCAGAGACCTGTCCCAGGCGACCAGGCGTGGGAGACTCATGTTCGGTCTGGTCCTAGGAGGTCCTGGCTCATCCACACAGGGCAGGTGCTTTATCTACAGAGACCCTTTGGCTTTCACATGAAGGCACAGGGCAGCATTACAGTGCTCTCATGTGCCGGACTGAGAAGGTGGATGGTATTCCTAGACCTATTTTTACAGCTGACAAGACTGAGGCAAAGAGAGGGTTTAAAAAAGGTCCCTAACTCACCTGGGATGGGACCTCGTGAGAATGTGCTTCCATCTCCTCCTCATACCTGAAGAAGCTGTGGTGAAAAGAGCAGAGGTCCTCAGAAGGCAGGGCTGGTGAAGAAGGGAACAATGAGGAATTCAGCCCCACCTCAGTAAGCCCATGAGACTGAGCCCACTCCCAACCCCAGACAAAGGAAAGGGCTGCCGGTACCTTTTGAGGAACATTCCCTTAGGGTATGGGGAGTTGGGAGACAGGGCTCTGACCAAGTACCTTAAAAAGTCCAAGGCTCTGAGGTCCTCTGTGGCAACCAAGCCAGCTTTCCAGATGTGGAATGGGCCAGCCTGCCCAGATCTGAGTCTAGGGATGGACCTGGGCTATCCCAGGCTCAAGGAAAATGCCCCGCCACATGCGGGTATATCTGAACGGTGATCCCACGGATACATATCCATCCCTCAACACCCAAATAAAAGACCGGCCAGTTTTTCCTGTCATTTCAAGAGACTAAATAAGGGGAGGTCGGAGCAGAGTGTTAAGACAACTGGACAATTTTAAAATATCCCAATGATGGGGCGCCTGGGTGGCTCAGTGGGTTAAGCCTCTGCCTTCGGCTCAGGTCATGATCCCAGGGTCCTGGGATCAAGCCCTGCATTGGGCTCTCTGCTCAGTAGGGAGCCTGTTTCCCCCCTCTCTCTGCCTGCCTCTCTGCCTACCTGTGATCGATCTCTCTCTCCCTCATATAAATAAATAAAATCTTTTAAAATTTTTTTAAAAATGTAAGAGACACTGCAGGGACAAAAAGCAGCACTGATATTTCTATGAATGAGTGGAAAGGAAAGAAAAGTAGTGGTGAATGTGGGGTCTGGTTTCTACAGCAGCAGAGCATGAACTATGTTCTAGGCTGGGCTTTGCCAGAGTGAAGGCCGTAAGCTTAAACCAGAGCCACAGTCCCCTTTCCGCCACTTGCTGACAAATCTGCTGAAGAACCCTTCTACGGATGAGCAAGCTGCTTGCCTGCTACACCGCCTCCCGAGGCTGCCGGAACTGCTACAAGTAGCTGCTACAAGTAGCTCGGCACCTTACAGCAGCAGAAATTTAGTCTCCTACAGCTCTGGAGGCCACAAGCTTTTCTGCTGCTACCTTTCTCATTTATTGCTTTGATCTCTGTGCTTTGGTCTGAGAAATGTGTAAGCTGAGCATTTAGAACCTCTAGGAGGGCCTTCTTAACTCATTATTTTCTTTTAAAAAGTCACCAACAGATAAATGCAAAGGGTCAGAATAGCGAAGGCACAAACAAGAGAACAAACAGTCAGGAAGCTGCCCTGCCTCACCAGAAGGGAAGACGGAAGTGTGGTGGAGAAGGGAATTGTTACAAATGCAAAGCAGCCTGGCAATGTCCAACAGTGGTCTGAATTATCAAGAGCACGAGAGCAGAAATCCCCCACCATCAAAAGACGGAAAAAATTCAAAGTATGAAGATGGTGATAAAAGGATAGTTAAAAAAAAAAAAGGGGGGGGGGCGCCTGGGTGGCTCAGTGGGTTAAAGCCTCTGCCTTCGGCTCAGGTCATGGTCCCAGGGTTCTGGGATCGAGGCCCGCGTCGGGTTCTCTGCTCGGCGGGGAGCCTGCTTCCCTTCCTTTCTCTCTGCCTGCCTCTCTGCCTACTTGTGATCTCTGTCTGTCAAATAAATAAATAAAATCTTTAAAAAAAAAAAAAAAAGGATGTGGCCTAAACTTTAGTGCAAGATCACTAAGAGAACGACATTTTTTAGGGATAAAAGTTAGGCCGTAGGAAGACATAATAATCTTGACTATTCATTTGCCTAACAGATACTATAGCAAAAATATAAAGCAAAAACTTGGTAACCTCAAAGAAGTATGAGAAAACCACACGGGAAATGCCCACCTACATTTAGAATGTGACTGATCAAAAAGACAGAATACAAAATAAAATTTATATAAATTTATTTAAAATATAATGTCAAGCTGAATTGTATATACAGCCCTGCCCACCCGACTGCCCCCTTTTTTCTTTTTCTTTTTTAAGATTTTATCTATTTATTTGACAGACAGAGAGAGAGATAGCAGGAGAGAGAACACAAGTAGGGGAAGTGGAAGAGGGAGAAGCAGAATTCCCACTGAGCAGGGAGCCCGATGTGGGATCATGACCTGAACCTAAGGAAGATGCTTAACAACTGAGCCACCCAGAGACCCCCCCACCACCCTCCTTCTTAGCATCCTCCATCAAGGACCCACCTCTCAGCCTCTCTTACCTAGGAGCTCTGCGCAATCTGCCTCGGACTACTGGCCACCCTCTCTGCCTGCCCCTGATGGTTTTTGAGTCCTAGCTGGTATGAGACCATCTCTATTGCCCCCACAGCTACTGGCCCATGCTCTCACTCACCCTTCCTGCCGTCTCACTATTATCTGATCTGTGCAAATAAAACTGCCTCTTAATTCACTCCAATCAGTGACCCTAGACTCCACCACCTTCCTGGCACACACACCTAAGCCCACACCCTCCCAAATGGCTCTCTTCAACTTCTCAGGGGAGAGATTTTCCTTCTGATCAAGTAAACTCCTGCATCCCAGTGCTCAGCCCTCCCTTCCAGTTACTTCCATGCTCCTGTTCCTCACAGGTAGGCCCTCAGAGTAGCCAGCACTCCGGTCTCCCCCACTTCACCCTGTCCATCCTCTCTCTGCCCTCTCACTCCTAAACACACACACTACAAATGCACCCCACACCCAAGAAAGCTGACCAAGGTTCTGCATCCATTTATATTGTTCTGGTACCACTGCCCACCCCTGGGCAGTCTCCTATTACCCGTGATCACTTCCATCCTCCCATCTTCTCCTTCCTTGACTGGAGGCAAGGGCTGGGAATGCCACTCTGCCATCAGATTGCCTGCTTTCGCAGTCCCAGCTCCACCACTTGCCTCTGTAGTTCCTAGCCCCTAAGCAGACCCCCTTACCCTCTCTAGGCCTCAGATTCTTCCTCTGTAGACATGTGGGAGAACAGCAGGCCTGGTGTCATGATGCTACTATGAGGATTAATGAGTTGCATTTATAGAGCTTAATGTCATGCGGACACACATGACACGGTAGATCTAGTCACATCGAAAATTCCCTTTCCATTCCTCATGCTGGACCTGAGAGGGGGCTGGTGTGGCAGGTTCTCTGGGGCTGCAGGTCTAGGGCAGTTTGCTCTTTCCCTGCCTGTCGGATGGGGTCTCAAGTGTTGCCCCCGGCTTCATGTTCTGCCCAGACCTCCCTGCCACTGCTACTTCCTCCTTTATTTCCAGCCCTACATCCTACACATTCCTCAACTCGACACCTCTGGGTGACCAGAAATTCTCTTCATGGCCTCCACCCGGGTTCCGCACTAGAAATGGAAACTCAGCGGCCTCCTCGGCTATTCCCACTTCGCATTCTCTCCTGCGCCGAGTTATTTCTACAGCCAGATGCTCCTACTCTGAGGCTCTCTGACATCCACTTCGAAACCCTCACGCACAGGGCGGTTTCACGTCCCGGCTCTTTACACCTCCAGGCCCCGTCTCCCGCAGCCCCTAACACCGGGCATGAACAGACACAACCAACGCAGGCGCCACAACACCACAGACCCAGAGACTGCTGCTGCTCTTCCTGGACTTCCTCTCATTCTTTGTTTACTGGGAAAACAATGCACTTTGTCTTCCAGCTGAGTTCAAAAGCACGTACCGGTGGAAGAAAACGTGTCCAAGCTCTGAGGCGGGGGCGGCCTCCGGGGGGAAAGCAAGCCTCGCTCGCCCCGGAGACTCTGGGTTACCACCTGCGGCACCGAGCGCCTCCACGGTAGGCGGCCCTGTCGAACCCAGGGAGGGGAAAAAGACGCGTCTGGGTGGGCAGGCCCCAGATGCCCACACGCCGGCCCGAAACCCGCAACAGCGGACCTCCTCTGCAGCGGGAGAGCTTCTGTCCCGGAGCAGTAGAACCTCAGACACGATCACACCCAGCCGCGCTCTGCTACAGGAGGGGTCCTCGCGGGACCAGCTTCCTCCCGCTTTCTGCAGCCGGAGGGGCTCGCATCGGACAGACCCTTGCGCAGCCCCTCAGAAGGACCCTCCACCCGCCCCGCTCGCTCCCCCGGCACCGCCCAAGACGCGGCGCCATCCCGCCCCGCCCGGCCCACAGCCCAGCCTCCGCGCGGGTCCCGGATTTCAGGGTCTCCTGAGTTCGCGGGGCAATGGCGGCGCTTCCGGTGGACGGCGGAAGTGCGCGCGCAACAACTGCAAGTCCCAGAAGGCAGCGCGGCGGCGACCGTTGCTCCCCGCCTGCGGCGGCGGGGACTTGTCTGCGCCCGGGTGGCGGCCTGAGAGAAGCGCAAAAGCTACCTTTTCCCTTCTACAGCGGCTCGTGTTATGGTTTCGACACTTGTTTCCCTTGGGCGTGTTCCGTGGCGTGCCTCTGCCCTTGCCCGGGCTCACGGACGCGACGCATTCCCTGAGGCCGGCGACCGAGGCCGCGACGCCACAGTGGCGGACGTCTGCGACCGGCATCGACGCCTGGGCTGACGTCCGAACTGCGCTTGGCCGCACCCTTTCCTCGCCCGCCGACCCGCCGCGGAAGTGAACGAGGACGCCTTGAAGGGGGCAAGGAGCAGCCGTCGACCCGGAACCCGCTAAAGCGAGGCAGTCCGCCCGCGGCCTGTGCTGTCCGCGGAGGCTCCGAGGCAGGCAGGGGGCGGCCTCGCTGCACGTCGACGGTCTTGGTCGAGTGTGGAAGCCGGGGACCGGCTAACTCTAGGCGGGCCTCCCAGGATTAGGATTGCTTAGGGGAGCATATTTGGCTTTGACCGCAGAAAGGTCGCCCCTGAGAGGGACGGGGCAAAAAGGGAAGCTGGCAGTTCGTGAGCAAGTCCTGACTGGGCCCTGCGGCTGCAGAGGGTGCGGGGCCATCGGTGGCCGTGTGTGCGGTCTCACCGCGTCTTGGGGTCGAGTCAGACCCGCCCCCGGCTGACCAGCCGCGGCTCTCACTCACCTTCCCCGGCCGGGCGACCGGCGGCCGCGACTCTGGCTCTGCTCGAACCTCGTCAACTCCTGCACTGGTACTTCCTCGTGTCTGGGATGCTCCTGTGACCAGCCTTCCTTGCTTGGAATCTTACAGAGGCTGACCCAACAGCCATCATCTTCTCACTTGACTCCTTCATGCTCGTTAACACGACCCTGCAATTTGTAGATTCTTCCAGGAAGTCTGGAATCTGGCTCCAAAGGGAGACTCTTGGTGGAGTGGGCTCGCGCCTCTTGCTTGCTGAATTAGGCAAGGGCATTCTGGCCAAGGAGAAGTGACACGGCTGCCGGGGGCTTCTGGGGAAGTTCCTCTTTCAAAAACGGACGTAAGACACTAGTGTGTCCCCTTTCATTGTCTCTGGGCAGTGCTATCTCTGTGTAGTGTGTAGAATGGTATGGCCATGTCAGCACCTTCCGGAAGCCAGCCCAAGAGGCAAACAAAGTCGACATGCTGAGAATGGCAGAGCAGAAAGATGGAAAAAACCAGAGTCAATAATGGCATCCTCCTTGCATCACCGAATCAACTAATATTGCCTGTGTCCCCCTGGGGACTTTTCCTTCTATCATATATGACCTTGTTTTTATTATGGAAAACTTCAAATGTAAAAAAGTGAATAGTGTGATGAAAACCCATGCTTCCCTCCATGCATTTATCCAACTTCATTTACTGTCCTCATTCGGCTTTTTAAACTTAATCTTATCCCCACTTGATCCCAGCCACCGCTGCATTATTTTGAAGCAAATCCCATATAGTGTCACTCATAAATATCTAAGATTCTATCTATAAAAAAGAATAATTTTTAACTTTTGAAAAAAAGATTTTATTCATTTGAAAGAGAAGGAGAACACAGCAGGGGGAGAGGCAGAGAAAGAAGAATAAGCAGATGCCTCACTGAGCTGGGAGCCCGATGTGGGGGCTCCATCCCAGGACCTAGAAATGACGACCTGAGCCCAAGGCAGATGCTTAACCATCTGAGCCAACCAGGAGCCCAAGAATGATTTTTGGTAGAATACGAAAATCCATACAGAAAATAAATAGTGGTTGCCTAGCACTGGGGAAGTTTGAGTGAAAACATCAGGGACTGCTACATGGATATCAGTTTCTTGTGGGTTTGATGAAAATGTTATACAAAGTTGTGATGGTAAAACATATTAAAAACCATTGAGTTGTACAATTTATGTGGGTATGTGTGAATTATGTCTCACTAAGGCTACTTAAAAATCAGTACATAATGGGGCGCCTGGGTGCATCAGTGGGTTAAAGCCTCTGCCTTTGGCTCAGGTCGTGATCCCAGGGTCCTGTGATGGAACCCTGTGTCGGGGGCTCTGCTTCCTTCTCTCTTCCTCCTATCCTTCCGCCTCCTCCTCCTTCCTCCTCTGGGGAGCCTGCTTCCTCCTCTCTCTGCCAGTCTGTCTGCCTACTTGTGATCTCTGTCTGTCAAATAAATAAATAAAAATCTTAAAAAAAATCAGCACATAAAGGGGCATCTCGGTGGCTCAGCTGGTTAAAGCATCTGTCTTCTGCTCCGGTCATGATCTCAGGACTCGGATTGAGTCCCGTGTGGAGCCCCATGTTGAGATTGCTGAGTTTGGTCCCCTGATCAGCGGGAGTCTGTGTCTCCCTCTAACACCTGCTCATGCTCTATCTCAAATGAATAAATAAAATCTTGAAAAAAAAAAAACAGTACATAAGGGTGCCAGCATCTATTGGGGAAAAGAAGATACAGTGGGGGAAAAGATGACTTTTCTTTTTAAAGATTTTTCATTTATTTATTTGACAGATCACAAGTAGGCAGAGAAGGGGGGAAGCAGGCTCCCCACTGAGCAGAGAGCCCAATGCAGGGCTTGATCGCAGGACCCTGAGATCATGACCTGAGCCGAAGGTGCCCGAAAACAGATGATTTTTAAGTACATAACTAAGTACACATCTAAAAATATTAGCAATAATTCCTAAATACCAAATATCCAGTGTTTATGTGGGTCCATTTTTTTACATTTTATTTATTTAAATTAGGATCTGAACAAGGTTCACACTTTGCATTTGGTTAATGTGTGCTTAAGTCTTGTAATTTATGGGTTTCCCTGACATGTACTTTTCCCTTTTGTTTCTGTTGAAACCAGGTAAATTTTTCCCATAGGATTTACTACCTTCTGGATTTTGGTGATGGTATCCTTATGATGTCATTTCTCATTGCCTTGTTTTTCCAGTAAACTGGTAGTTGGATCTAGAGGCTTAGATTCAAGTTTGTATATTTGACAATCCTTCATAATGGTGTATGTGTGTTCTTTTGCATCATAGCCGAAAGTGCATAGGAGCACCTGGGTGGCTCATTCGGTTAAGCCTCTGCTTTCTAGCTCAGGTCATGATCCTGGGGTCCTAGAATTGAGCCCTGTGACAGGCTCCCTACTCGGAGGGGGCCTGCTCCTCCAACTCCTCCCTGCTCATGCTTTGTCTCTCTCTCAAATGAATAAATAAAATCTTTAAACAAAAAGAAAAAGAGAAAATGAAGGAAGAAAGCGAAAGTACATAATGTCTGGTGCACTTCTGTAATGTTTATTTTGAGGAAGTGTTGACAGCCTGATTCATCTATCATAGATTTGTCCAACATTTTTTGCAGAACAGTTTTAGCCATCATTGCTTATACCCATTATTTCATTAGGAATTATAAAATGGTAGTTTTCTAATTATATCATTTCTTTTGCATCTTTTTGCTGGAATTATTCCATAAGGAAAAACTTTCCCTTACTAAATTTTTGGTTACGCTGTGGAGGTAGAGTTCAGGAAAAACATGATAAGCAGGATAAAAAAATAAAGGCATTCTTTGCCTTTGCTTTGAGAAATCAGATGTCCTAGCAATCTCCAAAGGTAGCCAGTGAGTATGTTTTATATACATGGATTTTTAATACATTCTGTGTGTTTTAATCAGTTGCAGTGAATAATTTAATGCTCTGGTTGTCCAAATGGTGGCCACGAGCATCTCTTTCAAGCTGTCTTCTGGGTACTTTTGACATGATCTGAGTAGGTTTTGATAACTTCTTTGCTTTCCAGTCAGTGAAGCTGTTATAAGGCTCATTCTGTAAATTTCCTGCCTTGGCCCTGGAATTACTTACATCCTTGAGGAACCCTTGTTATTTTTTAGCGGGAAGTGTGTTTTAGAGATCTGGGCACTAAGAGTACCATTACTACTAGGGTAGTTATTGTTACAAACCTCTTCACTGGACAAAGTTAGGATATATATTTTTAAGAGAAAACACATTTTGGATTAATCTTGATAGTATTCTCGCTCAAATTTAGGATTACAGGACTAATTATTATTGCTGAAATCTTGGTTCTTAATTACATCAGTAGAATTACTTGGTTTATGTTTCAAATTATCTTCAATATTATTACTGAGAATTCAAGATTTCTCTGCAATTCTTTTTGCCCTTAGACTATATTTCCACAGTGAGATTACTGCGCTCTAAAGTTACTGGAAATAATTATTATCAATGTGGTAACCTTTTCACTGAAGACTTTAAATTTTTAGAGATCACTTAAAAAAAAACTAATTTGGGGCACCTGGGTGGCTCAGTTGGTTACATGTCTTCCTTCGGCTCAGGTCGTGATCCCGGGGTCGTGGATCAAGCCAGGCATCACGATCCCTCCCCCCCTCTCCTGACTTGTGCTCTCTCTTTCTTTCTCTCTCTCTCAAAATCTTTTAAAAAATCAAAATTTAAAAAAATTTTAAAAACCTAATTTATATTAATACAGAACACTTTCATGGCTTCAAAGAAAAAACTACAAAAACAACTTACACTCAGAAGCCTAGAGTCTATGCCTGTTCGTCCCTCTATTCCTGCTCTCCTCCACTGGTAACCATTTATATAAGTTTTG